CTCTCTCTCTCTCTCTCTCTCTCTCTCTCACACACACACACACACACACACACACACACACACACACACACACACACACACACACACACACATCTTGCACACTCAGTAGCTATGGAGGCACCAACCTCCCTCCTCTACAGGCTCCCGTTCCTCTCTTCGCCGGCAGCTATGGCTGTCTCCAGCACTACTGCTGCCTCTGCCTGGCGCTTAGGAATCGCTTGCAGCGTGCGAAGTGTCAGCGGCAGCTAGTCAGGCGAAACGCTGGACAACGGGGCGGAGGCTCTCTTTTGTCAGGATGACTGGCCTTCTTTGGTTGCCGGCTTTCGTTTGTAGCGTGGACGGGCTCTTGTTTGTAGTCTTGATGGCTCTCATTTGTGACGTTGACTGGGTTCCTTCGACATCTGATTGAGGTTATTTTGACATGACCGGGCAGGATGCAGTGGCGGCCTGAGGCAGCTTGGACCCAGTACGTCCTCTGGGAACATCTGCGAACAAGATCCGTGCCTTTGGATTTGTGTGTGATCTGCGGGCGGGGTTGACGTTTTGGGAGATGTTTGACTTTTTGTGCATCATCTCTGGGTGAGGTAGACTCTTTGGAAGACCTTTGACTATTTGTGTCATCAGTGGGCAAGGTTGACTTCTTCGAAGATCGTTGACTTTTTGTGTGTGCTCTGTGGGGTAGGTTGACTTGTTGGAAGATCCTTAAGACTTTTAACTCTTCAGTCTATTGTGCGCGCGCGGAGCCAATGGGAATGGTTTACGTGTTGGAACTCCTCTTAGTTTATTGTGCGCGGGTGGGGCCAGAGTATCGACTATCGTCAGACCTGGGCCGCGTTTTCCAGGCCCCAGAGGGTGCCCTTAACCACCTACAAGACGTCTCATCTGACGATTTTAGGCCCCATAGACTGCGACTTTTGACCCGAAGACTCGGTCCCAGTCTGGAGACGGGACGGGACGGGACGACGGGACGCGGACCCTAAACTAAGCTTCAAGGAAAGCTGGACTCAAGTTTCCTTCCTTGCAATAGGGTGATAGGGAGGAAAAAAAAGGGCCTTGCATCTTCCACGTGGGAGTCGGTCGGGTGGCACTATTTTTGGTCAGTTTTTTATATCTGGCTTTTCACTTTTTTTTAAGTTTTTTTTTTAATTCAGGTCACAGCCTTACTGGTTCTTTTTTTTTTTTTTTTTTTTTTTTTTTGTGTGTGTGTGTATATGTGTGTGGAGGTGGGTGGGTAGACTAACATTCAGGTACTGATTTCCTTCTACTGTTTTTCTGTTTTTTTTTTGGAGACAGTGGAGGACGGCTGGGTAGTAAACAGTCGGTGTTTTTGCTCTGTCAGGGTTGCAGTGGGCGGAGGACGAGGGGGGTTACGGGTGAGAGGAGGGGAAGGCGGGAAACGAGGGGAAAGGTGGTGATTACCCTGATGGGGATCAATCAGTAGTCTCTGGAGGACCGGGGGTGAAGGGGGCAGGGGGGGAGAGGGGGGGAGGAATGGAAAAAAAAAAAGAAAAGAAAAAGAAATGCAGAAGCATCTGTCGACGGCTCGTATAATTAAATCAATGAAATTTGAAAAATCATCCTGTTGGTAAGTTTCTGGATCATTTCGCTTCATCCTTTGTGGTCTCTTTTTTTTTTTTTTTTTTTTGGCTGGCTAAATTATTATTGATTGACTTTTTTTTTTCAAAGGCTAATTCTTTAAGCCCAACCAATTCAGTTACCTATCGAATATGGACAGGATGGCCCTTCAGGCCATTTCTATTGTCATCATACTATGATTATAGTATTACGGGGAACGCCGTAGCAGCCACATCCGTGCTCAAGCCTCCAAAGAGGGAACATGTGGGAGCTGCACCCACCAGCAGGTGCGATACCTGCTACAGCAGGTAGGCGATACTGGCCAGGGGTCAGCCGGTAGCATCAGGACCGAGCTTCTTCGATGGCCCAGTCACTGTGCCTCCCCTCCTGTCCCCTCCCCCTGTGAACAACAGCAGTCTGTGCGCAATGCCACTCCGGGGGACCAACGGCATATCTCTAGGTGGGTGCCAAGCTTACCTACGGAAAACACACACACACACACACACACACACACACACACACACACACACACACACACACACACGCACGCACACAGCTTGGGCCGGCGTGGAAGGCTTTCCCAGTTTTTTCAGACCCTTAGCAGGGGGGGTCGGTGCGTTCTTGCTGGAGGAGTCTTCTGCTTAGATAAGTTGTCCCTTATCTTCTTCCTCCTCTTTGGCAATGACATGAGTGTGTAGTTTGAGATGAATGTCGGGAATGCCAATGCTGCTATGTTTGATTGTTTTTGGTAAATGAGTTTCTGGTTTTGTGGGCCGATGCGGAAGGCTGTCCAAGTTTTTTCGGACCTTTGAGGGGGTTGGGTCGGTGCCTTCTTGCTGGAGAAGTCTTCTGTCTTAGGTATAAGGTGCCTTCTGCCCTCCATCCCCTTAAGCTTGGAAATATATATGTATACATATGTATATCTGCAAGTGTGCTGCTTTGGCGGCAGACGGGTGTGTGGGCACTTGGCGCTGAACCACACAAACGTGGCCAACCTTGCATTTTCTATTACATTGCCTAATTAATATTTATACGTTTTTCGCCCCTTGGTTGATTGGTTGTGGACGTCTTACTCGCGGGGATTCGGGAGCACGACCGATCCGTTGCGCTGGAGGGGATCGGCCATAACCCATGCACAGAAAACAGTGGAGGCGTCGGAGGCAAGGAAAGGAAACCTTTTGAGGGTCGGGGTCAATAATGTCCTCGATGAGCGTTCCCTCTACGGGTGTAGGCAAGTATGTCAGAACATGCAAGGTTTCGTCCTCGCCGACAAATGCATCCATGCATTTGATCGACAAAATTGTTTGCACGGGGGCATCTGACCAGGAGTGCACCTTGCAAGCAGACAATCTTTGCTCATCTTCAGAATGTGTGTGGTGGACTCAGCGTTTGTGCGGGATAATGCTCGGCAGTATGTGCATATACGTTTCCGATCTCGCTGACTGTCATGTGTCCCCACCATTACCTACGCAGGGGTGTATCTCACCGTTCATTTGGTGCAGCAGCAGACAGTCTGTGCCCAGGCTCGTTGGCACTGCAAGTTGCCTCGCCCAGTGTAGAGGATTGCAAAGGATCGTATGATTTGAAATTAGGCGGCAGCTACCCTTCATTAGCACCCATTACAACACCCTCGCCCTAGCACTCCCTACCCTTCTGCCCCTTTTCTCCCTCAGCTGCCTCCGGCCCCAGTGATGCAATGTGGGTACCAGGAACGGATGGGTGAAGGTGGCCCACAAAGGGCCCGTTAGCGATCGAAAAGACCGTGCAGCTCTGGGACGGGGAAGAAAAAAAGAAAAAAACTTCAAAACAGGATTGCCACAGCTCCATTTTCAGGGTGAAGAGGTCCCCGCCTCCCAATCTCCTGCTCAGTCAATCCCCTGCTCCCCAGGGTAATCAATGCTGGCAGGATCATACCACACTTTTTCTGATGAGATTTTATGTGATTTGAACCCTGTATATGTAAGGGACGCTGGACCCGGTTTCCAGCAGGTGCTGCTCCCCACCAATAGATGGAGCCCCCGCTAGGTGCTACCGGTGTCTGCTCTTACCAGCACCGCTGCCCTTTGCGCATTCCTGTGACGCCGTTAGGTGAACTGAGCTGACAGGCCGCATTGCGCTCTTGCCCTGGGCTGCATTCTCTGTGCTGTCCACTCTGGCAACAAACACAGTCATACACAGACTACTGCCATTCTTCTCAGGGGTTTGGACCGACTGTCCGCTAGGATTGCAGGGTTGGTGTGAGTAAGTCTAGCACTTTTCTCAGCGGTATCACTAACCCTGGGCGACATGGTGAGTCCTTACCCATCAGTCAAATGCATCCTTGGGCTGACTGTCGGGGTTCAGCCTCCTGATGAGCCAGTGAAAGTCCGACGAAACAGTCTGGCGCACACACACATGCATGCAGAGATGGAGCTGGAAATATTCATACTGTGCATTGCTATGAAGCTTATGGACGAGAACATGTGGTGCACACACACACACACACACACACACACACACACACACACACATGCATGCAGAGATGGAGCTGGAAATATTCATACTGTGCATTGCTATGAAGCTTATGGACGAGAACGCGTGGTGTGTGGAAGCACTTATGAACACTCGACCCCTAGTGGGTGATCTGCACAGCCTAGCTGTGAGAAGACGTGAACGCCTAGTGGGTTTTGCCTCAGGCGTCGCCATGGTGGCGGGTGATGGGCTGTGCGCTGTGGGGTTTTGGGAAGACCTGACTTTGCAGGACAGTGCAGAAGATGACTACTACATGACGTCTTTGCGCATGAAGAGCACTTTCAATTCGCCCTGCACACATTCTGGCATTTGATTCGATAGCTTGCGAGTTATCAAAGATGTTACGTCCGCACTGATTGCAGTATTCCGAAATGCCATCGCATTCGGAACAGTCGAGGATCGAAGGTGTTCGATGTCTTTTTTTTTCTTTTTTTTTCCCGATTGCTGGAGGTGACATTGCAAGGAAGATGAGCAATAGCGAACTTCAGCAATCAAACAGCATCATACATACGAGTCCAGATAGTCGTGACCTCGAACCAACAGCAGAATTGCATCACGAGTTTCACCAAATAAGAACACACCAAGAGTTCATAATTGACAATGCTGAAATAGTCCCATCATCATCATCAACGAAGAACCAAAGTTGATATCCTATCTGGCGCTCGGCGCCCAGACTACATATGGCAGATCCTATCTAGCCTATACTACAATGCCGAAGTTGACGACAACAGCTTTCCCGAAGTACGAGCAGATAGCGGCCAATGCCGCACGCTTCCAGCACCAGGTATGTCTCTCGCCTCATTCACAACCTCGTTCCCCAACACATAGATGCCACTTGCACCCAAGGACCACCCTGAGCCTCACCCAGCTCACAGCAGCGCAGCTCGGCTATTGCTGCCTGCACCTCCCTGCTCGCCCATGAGCGCGTGAGTGCCAGCGAGCTTCAGCGCAGCAGCGCTTGCGCAGCATGCAGCCAGCACCCGACTGCCAAATGCGGAGACAGGCCCTTTGCTATATGGAAGTGGCCTGCCTGCTCGCTGTCCCAGGCTGCGCTGGGCCTTTCCCAAGAAGCTTCCGGTAGGCCCCGGTAGGCTGAGGCCCAGTCCACACAACTCAGGCCCTGGCCTGTAGTGGTTGCTTGCGCCCAACTGTCTACGGCCTGTGTTAGGCCCACATCCCGTATCCAGCCCAGGGCCTGCCTTCGATACATTCA